GCGATTGCTTCCAATTAGAAGAGAAACTAATGAAAGATATTTACTCTTATATCCGGAAACTCATTGATATATTGCTTCAAATCCAATCGCATGAAAAGGATTTGCAATTGATTTTGAAATCAGTGTCGACGTCGATACACAAATTGAGTTCATTGCAGGTCAGAGTGCAAACAGATTTGTGGTCTTATATCGAGTCGACGGCTAAGGACAGGACAGTAAATGAGACCAATTTTAATGCAATCAATAGTCCGCACACTAGTAATGAACTCGTCTCGGAAAATGAGAAACTTATGAAATCCATTGAAACAATCATTTCTCGCATTAATTCTGTAGATAGTAACGACTCAAGTGATGACTCTTTCGTTCATTTATAATAACTAATTCACATAATTATCATATTTTTATACTTATATTTTATATTTATTTTAATGTTTCAACTATTTATTCTTAAGTCTAACAAATCAAATGACAATTTTTTAATACAGTAAGTTAACTGAGCTTTTAACCTTAATTTAACATGTACTGTACCGTAAGCCTTATTTTTATTAATCAAACTAATTGCAACTAATTTTCCTCGAGTTAAATAAATCGCAAAGTTTAATGTTTAGTGATAATTAATAACACGAGTGTGCAAAAGTAAATATTACTGTATATTTGTAGATCAATAGATTAATGACTGAGAAACTATGAATATTATATGTAAATCTGTTACGAATTATTTGATTAACTATTTTTGACTAAGATTGATGGCTAATCATAAAGAGTTTGCATGCGTGCTATTATTCCCATACAATGTATATATAAATGACATATTTATTTGACTGTTTTACACGACACGAGAATTATTGTTAACACGTTCTGCTGTTATATTGTATACGAATTGTATAGAATTGTATTGAGTTTTATGAATGACTTGTATTGAGTGAAAGATTTCTATTAAAGAGCCAAAACTTTGATACCTGTGCTTATAAGGTCTACTCCCGAGTATTTTGGGCTTTCAATTAATTATAAAATGTTGTGTTTATATGGAGTATAAAAATAATTTGAATAAATGATTTGAAAACAATTGGATATACTTTTGAACAAAGCTATGGATTCTCCGAAAAGAAGTTTTATCCAAAAATCGGGTTAATATCACAATTAACTCTATAGTATTTTTGTCTAAAGTAGATTTGAATTTAGTTATACATTTACTTTAAGTTTAGTCGAAAATGAAAGTAAATTATTTTGCAAAGAAACTGACGATCAGAATACGGAAGGAGTGAATGATATCGAAATGACTGACGAGAAGGAGTTGTCTTTAAATGTGTTGAAGAATAAGAAAAATAAGAGGGAA